TGCCCACAATCACTCTCAACCACGCATTAGTCTTATTATCTACACCTCTGCACCTAAACAAACAAGGTCTCAAGTTTGGTTTCATTTTTCAAAAAAATTCTGATTCGATTTAAATGAAAGCATCCAAATAGAAACACTGTTTCTCTTACATTTGCATTAAATTACAAAAGCCTGAATTAATACCTCAAATTCTCATTTCTCAAATAGTCGTGAGCAACAGAGTTAAATCAATTGCACAACTTACCTGCCTCTGGAAATTAAGCAATCGTAGTGCTTTAAGTTCAATGGTTGCTTTGGTTCTCAGGTCACCAGCTAGGGACCCAGGAAGATTTTCAAGTTCTTGGATTCTGTGGGCAATGCGAGCCTGCAATCTGCACACCATAAAGAGTCAACTTGAGTTTATCAAGCTTTTATATTATATCTAACATGAGATTTCAGAGCAGTGATCTACCAGTGTAGTCTACCCCAACAGGGCACCCTCCAGATGTTGAGTTATGTTTCTGTCAGCCCCAGCCAACCTGTCCAATTGTCAAGGATAACTGAAATTGTAATTCAGAAATTTTGAAGGCATCAGACTAAGGAAAGACTTCTAAATAAGAAGCAACAAAGTTTTTAAATTACTGGGTCCATCACTCTGCAATAGGAAAATGTTTAATAACCAAAGCTATAATGCTTTGTTTAAGTGCAACACAGGCTTGTTAACAGAGGCCTGAAACACACGGGCCAAATAAAGCACCTTCTGGGTGCTTTGGAGGTGTGGCATTTAAACAATGCATACCCCCAAGCTGTCAAGAAGTTGTTCTGAGGCTGCCTAAGATGGCCCAAAGCCAGCCCAAGAAGGAGCAGCAAAAGGCCAATATGTCACAAGGGTCTTCCCATCAATGCCTTGATGTCATCTTTTACCTCAGAAACACTCAAAGACCCCTCGTGAATGACACTTGCCCAGCATCCACCCTTTATATACTTTCCCTAAATATATAGGGCTAGGGTCCGCAGTGTCTTCCTCTTACAAGTTTAAATCTTTGGTGGCATGTTTCCTGTGTCTATATGGTTGTGAATTCACTCAAGCAGAAGTTTCTTTTGAAACAAACAAACCTTAACTTTATTTAATAACATGTGGCAAGAATGTAGCTTATGTAGAATCATTTCACAGATAGTATGGTTACAACGGTTACAATAAATCAGCAGTTGCAGGCAATTCTCCACTCAAATTCTATTCACTAATCTTCCCTAAATAGATCTCTTGACTTCACTCATCTGCCTATGGGCCTTTACAGACTGCCAGAAATAATGCAGCTTGAGGCCACTTTAACTGTTCTGGCTCAGTGCTAAGGAATCATGGGAACTGTAGTTTATTGTGGTACCAGAGCTCTCTGAGAGAGAAGGCTCAATATCCCAGAAAAAAATACAATTCCCATGCTTCCCTAGCACTGAGCCAGGACAATTAGTGGTCTCAAGCTGCATTATTTCTGGCAGTCTGTAAAGGCCCTAACTCTTCCAACTCAGTCAAACAGAGCTCTAACTGAACTTTCCACTGAACTATTCTAAACTAAATGGCCACTCCTTTTGCCCTGTCTGTTTTGCCCCACAGCAGGCCATTTAACCCAATTAAGCCCAAGACTAGGAGTAGTCCCAAGAGCCCAAAACAAGTTACTCATCTTAACCAGAAGTACCAGTGAAGTTGTAAGACAGAAGATATAACAATTTTACCGGTATTCCCTCTCTTGAAGAATTTCCACAGGATCAAGTCCTCTTGGTTTCTGGATTGGAGTGATGCGATTCTGCTTCTGATGGAGTTGCACCATTGGAGCGGGTTGGGCTGGTTGCCCAGGTGACTGAGTTTGGGGAGGCATTACAGGGGATGCTGCTGGAGGTACCGCTGGCGGTGCTGGTGAAGGACGGCCTGTTGGCTGAGGAGGAATCAGTTTCTGAGGTGTACTAGTAGGGGCTGCAGCATTTGCCATTGGTCCTGTTCAAAAGGAAAGTAAGAAAGAAGACAATAAGGCTCTCTTCTGACAGTATGACAAGAGCACAAGACAGTCAAAGCCCAGCTTGTCTTTTTCAATGCCCGAAAAAGATATTTTATGTTCATTACATTTAAAGCCATCTTTCTTCCAAAGAAGCAGTATAAACTGAGGTCCTCATCTCTTCCCCAAACATTCCAACTTTACAGCCAGAGTGAAATAAATTCTTATTTTTTTAATTGGTAAATGTATATTTCATCTTTTACTGGTTCATAATTTTTCTTTATTTTCAAATAAAATTTGCTTTCATATCCATAATACTTCAATATCATAATACTAAAATATCACAATATCTCAAATATCCAATTGTCTTTCAAGGATTATAATCATATATCATTTATATCTTCCGTTATTCATATCATTTACGACTGCTTAATAAAAACTATTTTACAATTCCTTATCAACTATTTTTCTCTCTGTTATTCACATTCTATCTTTATATTCCTCTTTCATTAATACAGTTGGCCCACACTATATGCGGGCTAGCCACACACTACTTTGAGCTTACGCATACAGCAAGCCCAAGGGGAGACAAAATGGTGCGCAGAGCACAGGAGCATGCACCCATTATTTTCAATAGGGCTTAAGCATATGTGTTTTTTCCCTTACACGGGGGGTGAAGGACCCACTGTACTTTTTATCTATTCTTGTTCCATTCTGTTTCCTTGTTTAGTTAAAATAAATTAATTTGAGAGAGTATAACTTGTCCAAAGATCAATCACTGATTTGGTCCTTTCCGTACTAGTCTGTCTTTGTGTCCAGTACATCATACTGGTTCTCAAGATAAAATATAACTTCAGATGCAGTTTCCTAGGGACCTACCCTGTGCAGAGATCTCTAAAACATGAAAGTTACAGAAAGTGCAGTAAGTATCAATCATTACCCCACCACTACCTTGAACATATAAGGGCTTCACAGGTTGTAGCTTTCTGATCATAAGGTTCCTCTATAAGCCATTAAGCTGCAGGGATGTCAGTTTTCTAACGTGACAGTGTGCATCTATGCAGAGTAAAGGGGGTTGCAGACTGCCAGAAATAGTGCAAATTGAGTCCACTTTTAGCGTTAGGGTTAGGGTTAGGGAATCATGGGGACTGTAGTTTATTGTGGCACCAGAGCTCTCTGACAGAGAAGGCTCAATGTCCCAGGAAAAAAACAATTCCCATGATTCCCTAGCACTAACCCTAACCCTAAATGTGGACTCAATTTGCACTATTTCTGGCAGTCTGCAACCCCCCTAAGTGAACCAGCAATTAAGGGCCTTTACAGACTGCCAGAAATAATGCAAATTGAGGCCACTTTAACTGTCCTGGCTCATTGCTAAGGAATCATGAGAACTGTAGTTTATTGTGGCACCAGAACTCTCTGACAGAGAAGGCTCAATGTCCCCCCAAAAAATACAATTTCCATGATTCCTTAGCACTGAGCCAGGACAGTTAAAGTGGCCTCAATCTGCATTATTTCTGGCAGTCTGTAAAGGCCTAAGACTCTTCCCAAACAAGAACGTGCCTGACAAAACTGAAAGCTCATCTGAATTGTTAGAAAACATAAGGGTTAGACACAAAATGAGCTATATGGTGATGTGGATGTGGGGAAGTCAGAAACAGAACCCAGTCATCAGTGGGCAACTTCTAAGGTCATGGGGGACATTTTCGCCATTCCCACCCAGCAGGTGGCACTCACACATACACAAACACAGCAAATAGTTTCACCTCCCAAATGGCAAACAGCATACATATCCACCCAACAAAGCCTTGCAGAAGTGCAATACTCCATCAACCACCTGCTTTGGGTGGCTGTGGGCCTGTTTCAGGCCTGATACACCCTTTTGTGGAAACAGCAGATAATCCTCTGTCATCTCCAGTTTTCTTAAAGGCTGTTTTGGGCCTGACTAGCCACAGGATGAACCTCCAGCAATAGCCTTTCAATGGCAAACTGTCCCCCTCTGCAGACCAGGGCGTTTGGGACGCCCTGGTCCGGA